GCTCGACTCAGTCCATCAGGACATGGAAGTGGTTCTTGGACCTTCGGTATTCCGTCTCCGATGATGGCAAAGATGATGGTTCGAAATGTCCAGGTCTGCTGCCACGGATCGCCGTGCGTGGAGGAGCACCGTACGAGGCCAGCTAGATCAGCCATGATCGCAGCCGCAACAAATACATCTAATAGCAGGAGCCCGTTCCCGACTGACTAATCCGGCTCGCATACTAATGACCCGCACCACTGGACCAACGTTAAGGAGCGCTTCGGTCCCCGCGGACGCCCTAGCATGGATCGCGTTGCTGTAGGTAGACGTCCTTAATGAGGTTTTCTGAGGATTTTTGACACAGGCGGGTCCAAAACAGCCGCTAGGGTTGCCTCCTCTAAACCTTGGCTCCTTAACCAAAATATAAGGCAGCTGTGGCAAGGAAACCTATTTAATGGTGGTTCGCGGTAGCCATGTCACAGTGCCGTCAATGGGACTTGTGGGATTTTATAGAGCAGTCGATGTACCAGATCGAAACCCTCTGCGCCGTCGTAGCACTGCCGCTGCTGTCCCATGACTGCGTATTCACCAGACTCGAGGGCCGGTTTATTTTGAGGTTACCCTTTGATGAAGGCCATTCACCCATCCGCCGGTTGTGGATGTGCCGGATAGCCAGCAGCTAAGCTGACGGGTGATTCGCCCTCTGCACCGTAATGATTGCGTTTTTTGGTGTCGCCCTCAATCACCCTCAAATAAGTTGGTTCCAGCCTGCTTAAGGTCCGATCCCATCCAGTAAATACTATCTGAATATTTCTTCTACAGAAACAATCTTAAACATCTAAGGGATGTGGCAATCGCTCATGCGATGGACAAGAACAGTCCTGGAATCTTGGTTTCGTTTGCTTAAAATCTTGCATGACTACGCTAGATACATTTGTGTTGAGTAGGCATGTAACCATTCCTTGACCGCTAGGACCGGGTTCAGTCGTATATGAACAACTTTCGACGATCCCAGATGTTGACTGAACCATTTTAATGTGAAAACAGGCTGGCTCCCCTTGCACTGTAGTCGTTATTTAATCGAGCTGGAAGCTGTATGCATGGATCATAGCTGCTGATGTCGCACAGACCAACCCAATGCGTTTCTAAGTCAGCAACTATAGAGGGACTAAAGGCGGGCGAAAAATTCCCGCCCTGTCTGCTGGTAAGGGGCAATCAACTATTAGTATGAACTGAGGAGGCTACAATGAGAAAGCCATGAATCTAATTGATGAAATATAATTTTAAAGACCAGCAAGGGACTCATGAGCCGGATTAGCAGGTCCATTCTGAAAATTATTCATCGAATTCAAGCGCGAAAACGTGATCACAGTGAATTAACGACATCAAATGAGCTAATGAACACCGCTCCGGTTCGCTTCCATGGTCTGCCAATGGTTCATAAACCAAATATTCAACTGCGACCAATAATTGACCCAAGAGGCAGCTCTACCTTTAGTTTGACACGATAACTTCACTTGGAAATAAAGTTCCTCCAAGATGGTTCCAGTTCGTTCAGCCTCCCAATTCCTTCTAGACCTCCAAGGTCGCAGGGTCCCATCGAACGAAGTTGTAACCTTTTTGAGCTGAAGTCGTCATTCACGTCCACCCCGCTGAATTTGGCGCAAGAAGTATTGCGCAGGAAGTTTGAAGATTCGTCTGACGAAACTCATA